AACTCGGACATTGGGCCCCAATGTTATCTTTTCCAGATGAAAAAGGCACTTGATTCTGCTTAGAGTGATTAGAATATGATTTATTAGGTTCTGGGCTATGAGAGTTAGATTGCCTGTTCCAGATGGCCAATTTTCCCACAGTAAAAGCATATATTCATCAATTTCTCATACCTTTATGGCTTAATTGCAAATAAAACCATGACTTTTTCGAAATTTGCAATTTAATGCACCACCTTTAAAATTGGCAAATTTATACACCACTTTTACAATTTTTTGCAATTGTATACATCGGGCCAAAATTCGGGCTTCCCTTGCTGACATGGGCTGGTGACGTGGCGATTTTGCTGACATGGCTGGTGACGTGGATGACATGTCAATATTTTGCTGACATAGCGGCTGACGTGGCGGCAAAAATTATAAACAGAGGCAAGGTTCGAACCTGTGACCTCTAGGTTACATTGTGACAATGAAACCACCACGCTATTCCAAGTCATGTGTTGGATTCAATAGCAATTAATATATATGGACACTAAGTACTAATAAACACAATTAAAATTTTAAAGATAATGTATCTTATATTAATAAGATATAAACTTATAATAATTTAAATATAATAAAATAAATTATATAATATTAAATGAAAAATAAATTATAATAAAGTAAGATAGATTATTATAGTACAGTGCATTTAAATTAAATTAAATTAAAATAAATTATTATATTTATTATTTATTAAAATAAAATTAATTATATAAATTTGGAAATAAAAATAATATATTATTTATTATATTATCATATATTTTATTATATAAGATAATATAAGATAATATAATATAATATAATATATTTTTTATAAAATAATATAAAATAAGATAATATATTATTTATTACATTATATTATTTTATAAAAAAATAATAATGATAAAATTAAATTAAAAAATAAAAAAGATTAAAGTACACAAGTTAAAATTAAGTAAAAATAATAAAATATAAGATAATAAATTATAAAACATGGAAAAATAAAATAAATATAAGATAATAAAATATTTATTTTATTATCATTTTATTTAATATAAGATTATAAAATATTTACTTAATTTTATTTTACTATTTTATATTATATTATCTTATAAGATAATAAATATACGATAATGATTATTTATTATACTATAATAATAATATTATAATGTATTATAATATATTATATTATTTTTATAATATAATAAATATAAGATAATATAATGTAATAAATAATATATTATCTTATTTTATATTATTTTATAAAAAATATATTATATTATATTATATTATCTTATATTATCTTATATAATAAAATATATGATAATATAATAAATAATATATTATTTTTATTTCCAAATTTATATAATTAATTTTATTTTAATAAATAATAAATATAATAATTTATTTTAATTTAATTTAATTTGAATGCACTATACTATAATAATCTATCTTACTTTATTATAATTTATTTTTCATTTAATATTATATAATTTATTTTATTATATTTAAATTATTATAAGTTTATATCTTATTAATATGAGATACATTATCTTTAAAATTTTAATTGTGTTTATTAGTACTTAGTGTCGATATATATTAATTGCTATTGAATCCAACACATAACTTGGAATAGTGTGGTGGTTTCATTGCCACAATGTAACCTAGAGGTCACAGGTTCGAACCTTGCCTCTGTTTATAATTTTTGCCGCCACGTCAGCCGCTATGTCAGCAAAATATTGACATGTCAGCCACATCACCAGCCATGTCAGCAAAATCGCCACGTCACCAGCCCATGTCAACAAGGGAAGCCCGATTTTTTGCCCGATGTATACAATTGCAAAAAATTGTTTGGTGTATAAATTTGCCAATTTTAAAGGTGGTGCATTAAATTGCAAATTTCGAAAAGGTCATGGTTTTATTTGCAATTAAGCCTACCTTTATTGAGCTTCAATCTGGTTATTGTAAAGTCTAATTGTAGAAAAACGAGGATGTGGTTCAGCTATATCCAGAGAAATCAATTTCTCCTTTAAGTAATGGAATACCCAAGCTCAAGCTTTCACGAGCCAAACCTAGTTGTTCGTGAATAACTGCTCTAACTTGAAGTCATTTCCCCAACAAAATTATAATCCTTTGGTTCACAGTAATACTATCACACACAATAAATTATGGCAATCACAGCCCCAACACGAGGCACCCTCATATACAAAACCATTGTATTAATTAGTATGATTTCTTTTGATATAAGCATCCATTTGCAAGAAAATGCCGATTTACAGCTTTACCACTACCTGATTCGTGGACATGTACAATGATTAAAACAATGCAAAAAATTGCAGTTGACCCTCTGAAGTGAATAACAAGAATTTGTATGTGTTTCCCTCAATCAGAAGCATTTTTCACCACACACGACCCAAAGGCACCGGATAACGATACAAATGTACAACTCAAGACATATAGTCTTCAATCTTCATTTAACTTAACATTTCCAATCTAAGCACAACATTTTTCACCCCGATGTGCTTCACAAACCTCCTTTTGCTTCAGCATCTGGTTCTTTATGGGTGTCGAACCTTTTTCAAGCAAACAGGTATCTCCAGCATCTGGAATTCAGTTTAATCGGAAAATAGTATGGGTTATTCACATAAAAGCCCTATAAATGTGTCTCGTAACTAAACTAGTCCATTTTTGAAACGCTTATAAGAAAAAGCACATCCTAATGTTGCTTTAGAGTCCCACAAGTGCATGAACAAAATTATAGAAAAATACATAAATCTAAGAGTATAATTCTTTAAAATACCATACAATAGTATTATACCTTAATAGTAAGATTTTTAAAGCATTGCTTTACATTTTCTTGAGTCTTAGCACTGCACTCGAGATATAAACACTTGTGTTCTTGTGCATGCGCCATGCCTTCCTCTTTAGTAACGGCTCTCTCACTTTCCTTAAGATGGTAGCAATTCATATTGTTATTGGTAAAAATGCATTATGATAAAGCAGGCAATACTAACGTAAGGCCTTGGAATTACTTCTCTTGCTTTTCGTCTCGAAGTCTGTCTGGAAAGGAACGTGTGGTTTGTATAGGTTCGGGGACATGTGCAGCATTGAATTGTCCGTCGGCTTCCCCGAATCAGCCTGTGTGCTCTCCTTTATATTTTTCTCCGCTTTCTTGGACTATGTAGTTGCATATGTTCATCAAGTTCGGGCAATTTCACGGGGTTGTCAAATACTTTCCCGCTCTTCAATACCGTAATTGCCTTAGCTTGCTCGGGCTGACTATACAACTTCCCTTTGTCCGACTCGGCTTCCATATTCCCAATTCTAGTGGTTAGTTGGCCTAACTGCATCTCGAGACGCTTGATGGATGCCTCGTTATTCAAATCCAGCTGCTCACCATTAGCCATAAACCGGAGACTCTTGTCCAGCTTGTCGTCTTGATTAGATGAGCTCGGACCTAACCCCGGTGTTTGTATTCCACCCATTTGACCCCTTTGCTGTTGTTGTTTCTGTTGTTGTTGAGAATAACTCGACCTCATTTGCTGTTGGGGATAAAGTTGGGTCGGGGTTGCTGTTGGATGAAATTTGGTCGAGGCTACTAGACATTTGTGTTGTTGGACCTGGAGAAGTTTGGGTGGTTTCTCCACCCCGGGTTGTACGTGCTGGAGAAGGGATCATTGTCTGGTCGGTTCTGGTATCCTAGCGTCCGCATATTGCTCGTCGAAGTCTTGCTCGAATGCCAAAAGGCATAACTCGGACCTATGACCTTGAACTCCACACGCCCAACATGCATCAACAGCCAAGGTTTGCATTGGCTGGACTCCTCTTGCATTAAGTTGTCGCATCTACTCCGTAAGTTCGGCTATTTGTTGGGTTATCACATCTTACCTGTGATATTTCATTCATCATGGTCCTCTTCCCTCGAATGCTCTTTTGAGACGAGTTAGTGCTCATCGTCTCAAATATCTTCATCATCTCATTCGTCGTGCGTGCTCCAATGTCCCTGTCGGGGCTGCATTGTCTGCCATATGCTGAAGGTTTTGGGTGGAGGGAGTCATAAAAGAAATTCTCAAATAGCTTTGGTGAGAGGTTATGGTGCGGGCACTACCTTTGAATATCCATGAAGCGCTCCCACGCTTCATGAAGTGGCTCATTCGACTGTTGGGCGAAGGAGACAAGTTGGGACCGTAGCTCTTGCGTCTTCTGATGGGAGTAGTACCTCCCAATGAACTTGGAGTACACTTGCTCCCATGTGATATGAGGGTCAGGAGCAAGTCATAAACTATACCTTGGCTCGGTCTTTCAGAGTCTCTGGGATGCACCGCATTTTCAGTTGGTACTCATTCAGTCCTTGAAGTGGGAACGTCTGGAGGACATTGTAGAATTCTTGGATAAAATAGAGTTGGTCCTCATTTGGGAGACCATGGAAAGCCGGGAGCTAGTCGTAATGGAGCTCGTAGTTCCGAGCCGCTGGTCCTCACCGGATGTATGAGGTCACTAGTCCAATCACTGGTTGAGTAAATCATGAAGAAGATAGCGAGGGGGGTCATTCTCGCCTTGTTGCTCGTTTCGTGCCATGTTGACTTGGTTGTTTGATTTAGAAGATTCAGGAAGAAGATTGGCCAACAGACCACTCAAGATTTCGTGAATGGAATTGTCGCTCGGAATAATAATGTGTCTGCTCCTGGTACACATACACACAAACAACAAAAAGGTCACGAGCACCAGATAAACAAAGAAACTAGAAATGACTAAAAAAACACAAGAAAAACAAAAGGCAACTAGACAAAACACCAAACAAAGAGAAACACGAAAAGAAGAAAACACAAGAAACAAAGAGACATGAAAAATAAGATGAATAAGCGCACAAAATAAGTCCTAAACCTTCCCTGGCAACGACGCCATTTTGTTATAGTTATTTTTACCAGAGTTAATCCACAGGTCGTATCTCAAGGAACGCTAGCTAGATTATTTTGCACGATTATTCAAGTAAAAAAAAAAAGATCATAAACACTCTCATTCAATTTGATTTTGGTTTTTGATTGACAACTAAAGATTCCAAACAATGCAATTACTCAATTTTGAACTTCAAAGAGATTCAGATAACAATGAAGAAGCTAGGGAGTCGGGGATAATTGTTCTTGATTCCAAATGTAAATATCACATAATCGATCATTCGACTAAAAAATTCTTTTAACCTACATGTATAGAGTTTTAACCTATAACTTTTCTAGCAAGAGGATAAACATGAACGACAAATCAATCAAACCAAAAAATGCACAGGCAATACAATTACGAACAAGTCTATTCTATACGAGCTTAGGTCGAACAACTCCTCTCTCAATTCTAAAAGTTGTTTAATTCGATTAGAAGGTGATACCCTAGGTATAATGCAACTCGCATAGACTGAACGAATCACAATAACATAATAGACACAAGAATCAAAACAATCATCCCCTATCCCTAGCGAATGAATTTAGCTACTCATATCAAAATCAACACAAGAGATCATATTAACCAAAGAAATTAAATTCATAGAAAACATGAACTGAAAGCTTACGATTCAAACGAAGTCGAGTGTTAATCCATGAATATATAAGCCAACGAAATCCACAAACGAATCTTGGAATATCACTCTCCAAAATCAAAATTCAAGCCAAAATATGTTTCTAAGGGAGAAAACTTGAAAAATATCGTCTGAAATATTTTTTTAACCCTGGGCACGAGTCCCAATAAAAAGAAACTAAAAACGAGTAAAAATCCCGTCCAAATTTGAATTTTAAATATCGATGTCGCGGGTGCGACGAGTCCAGGTTGTTGGGCGATTGCAGGCGTGTCACTGGGCAAGGGGCGCGACGAGGAAATGATGGCTGCAGAAGCTCGCAATGAGCTGTCGCGCTCGACTCGATTCTCGGTGTCTCATCTCGGTTATCGATGTTTTGGGCTGGATTTGAGGTTTTGCCCGAAATGGATAAAAGCTATAATAAATAGAAAACACGAGAAACTGCCAGGTTGGTCGAAAACAACCTAAGAAAAGACCTAAAACGGGAGAAAAATAAAGACAAAACAATGACGAAAATGGCAAGACAAACATTCACGAACATTCTCGGCTCAACTCGTCGTTCAAACCTGTAAAAATTGAAATTTATAATATAAACAAGTTGTTAACAAACGAACTCGGGTAAACACATTTAATAAACAAACTTGATTAGTTGTTCGAGTTCAACTACTTTAAGTAATAGAATGACCCAAGCTCAAGCTTTCACGAACCGAACAACTACTATTTTAAGTAACAGAATAACTCAAGCTCAAGCTTTCACGAACCGAATCGAGTTGTTCATGCATAACAGCTCTACCGTGAAGTAATTTCACCAACAGAATTGAAAGCCTTTGGTTAACAGTAATACCATCACAAAATAAATTATGGCAACGATCACAGTCCCAACACTGCACCCTAATATACGAAGCCACTGTTAGTATGATCTCTTTTGATATAAGCATCCGTTTGCAAGAAAATGTCGATTTACATGGCCTTACCACTACCTGACTCGTGGACATGTACAACGATAAAACCAATTCAAAAAATTACAGTCAGACTCTTTGAAGTGAATAACAAGAATCTGCATGTGTTTCCCGCAGTCAGAAGCATTTTTCACCACACACGACCCAGAAGCACCGGATAAGATACAAATGTACACCTCTTAACACGTGTAGTCTTCAATCTTCATTAACTTAACATTTCCAAATCTAAGCACAACATTTTTCACTACGATGTGCTTCGCAAACCTCCTTTTGCTTCAGCATCTGGTTCCTAATGGGTGTCGAACCTTTTTCAAGCAAACTAGGTACCTCCAGCATCTGTTTAATAGGAAAATAGAGTGGGTTATTCACATAAAAGCCCGATAAATGTGCTCTCGAAACAAAAGTAGTCCATTTAAAGTTCAAAATCAATGAGGACCCACTTAAAAGCGCTTACAAGCAAAAGCACATCCTTATGTTGTTTTAGAGTCCCACAAGTGCATGTACAAAATTATAGAAAGATGCATTATTCTAAGAATATAATTCTTTAAAATACCATACATTGTATTATACCTTAATAGTAAGATTTTTAAAGCATTGCTTCACATTTTCTTGAGTCTTAGCACTGCACTCGATAAATAAACACTTGTGTTCTTGTGCAAGCGCCGCGCCTTCCTCTTTAGTAACGGCTCTCTCACTTTCCTTAAGATGGTAGCAATTCATATTGTTATTGGTAAAAAAAATTTATGATAATAGCAGGCAATTTTAGCTTACAAATGCAAAGTTAATGTAGGCCAGATACACAGACACACACAAAATAAAATAATAATAATAATAATAATAATAAAAGAAAAAAGAACCTTACAAGCTATCACAATGTAACAAAATTTAGCGTATGTTGTACATGTGTTCTTAAATAAAGGTCTATTGCAGAAAAATATAAAGAGGAAAAAAGACAAATGAACCAGATTAAATGCTTTCAATCTAATTCACATGTGGTCAATATAAACCTAGTTAGTCATTAATCGTTACCTTATCAATTTTGTTACCGATGAGTATTTTGACACAATCAGGATTAGTGCAGTAGCAGTCTAGTTCCTTTATCCACGTAGTGGATAAATTAGTGAAGCTCTCTCTTCTTGTCACGTCATAAACTGAAAACAGTTTGCATCACAATTAACAGAAGTAAGAATCATAAGTTTGTAGCATATCGTGCAAGTCGAAATAAAGAATGGTCTATGCAAATCTAAGTTAATTTCATACCAAGGATAATTCCATGCGCACCTCTGTAATAGGAACTCGTTAATGTTCTGAACCTTTCCTGCCCAGCTGAGTCATAACAAAAGGAAGAACACAAGAAAAAACTTTGAGTTCTGATTCTGTTTTAAAGGATTAATTCTAGTATATTTGTGAATGTAAGGACATTATTTTGAATGATTTTATTATAAATGGATTAACACAAAATTAAACTACAAGACAGTATATTCTAAAAAAAGTTTAAGACTTTCTCTTTAAACAAAACAATCAATTACATCTACCTTTTAATTTAGGAATAAATATAATCAATTTATATCAACCTTTTACTTTAGGAATGAAGGGGATTAGATTACCAGTATCCCAAATTGTCAATTTAAGTCTCTTTCCAGCAGCGGTTAACAGCTTTATCTTGAAGTCGACTCCTGAACATGATCAGATTAAAAATCAAAACATCAATTCACCTGGAAATGAGAACAGCCCACCAAATTATTCAAGCAACTAATTAACTTATTCACCAACAACAATCATGATTTTCTCTTCAATGCTTCCTCTTTCTTTCAAAAAACAGGACCTGTACTCAATTTTTTCTCTACCAAAATGTTTTCTCTACCGAAAAGAACAAGTGAGACCAAAAAGCTATAGAGAAAATACACCCATTGAAATAAAACAACGACGAAAAGCTATAGAGACCAAAATTTTTTTCTCTACTCGAATTTTTCCTCTATGCGTTTTTGGTAAATAAAATTCACACATTTAATCAGCGAAGAAAACATAAGGCAACAAACACCCAAGAGAATCAAATCAAATAAATATAATACTAATTACTAAACAAATCCACACAACAGAGAGCGAGAGAGAGAGAAGAGAGAGATGTCTAATATGTATCTACACACCAATAGTTGGGGAGAGGTCCTGAGGAGAGAGATTGATGAAAGAGAGCAAAAGACTGCTCTTCCCAACAGCGGAGTCGCCAATTAAGAGCAGCTTGAAGGAGTAATCATAGTTAACGCCAAACGCATCCTTTCTAATAATCGAACCCATTGAACAAATAGAAGGTCGCAGGTTGGTGGAGTTGGGTGGAGGTTTTGGTTGAGGTTTTTATGTCATCCATTGTAATGGTGAATGGGGCACTTAATTAATTGTCATTTCAAGTTATTACAAATGTCGCGCTTTCAGTGAGACGGTTGTAATATTGATTGTACACGCGGCCAGCTGATGGATGATCTTTCATTTTTTTATTTTTTCTGTAAATATATAATATAAAATCTTTTTTCTCCTCAGATAGTACGAACGACTTTGACTCGATTAAACTGAACCGCTCAAGAGCCGGTGAATGACTTACTAAATAGCATGGCGGATAGTCACGTCGTGACATAAAATCTGATGCTTAATCAAAAAACAAAGGATGAAGATGAGATTTTGATCTTAGACAAAAAATCGACATTAGGAATCAAAATACGATGAGTTGTATATATAGAAGTCAATAGCATTTAGAGTGTCTGATTTGGTTGTCATGTTGTAATGATCATATATTACCCCTTTATATAAAGTGTTACCTTGTAGACCAAGACTGTCTGATTTGGTTGTCATGTTGCCCGAACTGTTCGATCGTACTAGCCGGGTACCCGAACTGCTTAATTCAATTAGCCACATGGTTCTATCGCGTGCCCTTGATTTTATTCGTATTTATCCCTTATGTAGTGTGTTCACACTAGACTATCTCATTAGACAACTACTTTAAGCATAATTGTGCTATTGGTTCGATTTCCATTGAATTAGGTCGTTTGACCTTAAACGAATAAGTTTGCCTCTTAGGTCCTACTCTACTTATTGGCTTCTAGAGCAATTTTCCATCAAGCTATCCGAGATCCCTAGCCCGCTGCTGTCAGACTGCTTTGCCTATGAGGTCATCATCGATCTGGTGCTTCCACAACCCCTGATCTCCTTGTTGTTTGGCCGATCTATCGGCTCACTTGAACCGATTGAACTATTCTTAGGTCGTATATGACCTATTATGTTGGTATGGTATCCCATATTATCCTTGTTATATTAACTCAAAACTACTTCATTTATATTATTGTCTTGATGTGTTTCAATTCATTTGCCCACAGATAATAGAGATTTTTTACAAGGTATAACTTTATTTTTATCAATTGAAAAATAACAAATATTAATGTGCGAATAGAACAACAAAATCCCTAACTCATGATTTTTCAGAATATTCATGATATTTTAAAATTTTTCGNAAAAAGTACTTGTAACCCTCCACCTGTATACAAAATTTGCCCTCATTTTTTACCTTTACAACATCATTACCGACTCATAAGAAATAATAAGAATGATCAAAGTAAGTCCAAATTATCATTTAGAGACATAAAATGAAGTTTATGAATTTGTAGATGATCAAATTTTGAGCCAATAAAATGGCGACAAGTGTCTAATTCCATGTCATAGTCAATTTAATAGTTTTCATTTTATTTGAAAAATAAATCAAATTTTAATTTCTAAATTAAATAGTTAATTATTTATTTATTTATTATATATTGTTGGTCAATCAAAGAATGTCACATATATATTTTGAAGGCCAATTAAAGAATGTCACATGTCATCTTCTTGAAGAGAGAAATAAATAATTATTTCTTTTAATAATTATTAAAGAGATAAATATTCATGGACCAATCAAATTGAAGTCTTCTTTTCCAAGACTCTCTCTTAATTATCTCTTTAAATAAATATTAAGAAATAAACAATAGAAATTATGGACTAATCAAATTAAAGTCTTCTTTTCTAAGATTCTCTCTCTTAACACCTATAAATATGGGCTCCCCCTAAGATCAAAAACACAATTCATATTCACAATTCAAGTTCCAAGTTCAAGAGCTCTAGAGAATTCTCTCAACAAGATTCAAGTGTTAGTGTTCTTGAAGATCCAAAGGCGTTCTTGAAATATCCGAAGGAAGATTCTAGCGCATTCAAGCTCAAGACCGACGTTCTATCCGGAAACAAGCTGTCAAGCCTCCGAATTGCGTTATTAAAGCCAAGACCGGCGTAGAGAAGATTAAAGATCAACTTTGCGGCGAAAAACAAGGACTCGTGTTCTTCACGTTCTTGGGAAATCACAATGTTTGATTCAAGATCAAGCTGTCAAGTCCTCGAAGAAACGTTATATAAATCCAAATTCAAGACCGACGGAGATCAAACTGAAGATTCATCTCCAAAAGTCTCAAGTCTAGTTGAAGGTAGTTCTTCAAGAAATTAATTAGAGGAATAATAGAGATTTGTAATCCACTATATTTCATTTGATCCGTTGAAAATCAATTTATACGAATTTCTCGTGTTTATTAATTCAATAATATGAAATTTTTCGTTACACTTCTATTTTTACATTTTTAATCAATAAGCATCCTTATAGTATACTGGGGCTACATAGCACTAGTATAAAGTGCTAATTTAAAGTGATTAGTTCAAACATGATTTATGAATTAAGATATGATGATAATGCATATCTGTTTTATATTATTTGAGATATAGGTTTAACCAATAAACAAAATGAATGTAAATAAATGGCTTTGTAGAATTTTACCCGGGCTGTAGCCCAGTTTAGAGAGACTTGGCTCCGCCCTGGTTGCAACCAAGAATCGACTTTTGGTGATCTACCCCCTAAAAAAGTTGCAATTTCAGCCCCTTTCTCAACGCCGGCGACGAATGGTGGCAGCGACGGTGTCTGGTGGCAACATGTTGGCGTTGGATTGGCGACAGGCAGGGATTTGTGTGTGTGTACAGTGTGCATGCGGCGTGAATGTGAGAAATGTGTGTGTGTGTGTGTGTACAATGTGTGTGCGTCGTGAATGTGAGATGTGTGTGTGTGTGTGTGCAGCCGTGTAGCTATGTTTAGGTGTAAGTGTGAAAGTGTGTGTGTGTGCGTGTGTGTGTGTGTGTGTGTGTGTGCGTGTGTGTATGTGTGTATGATATGTGGGGTTGGTGGTGGGGCCCACTGGTGAATTGGTAGTGTCCGTTTCAACCTTAGTGAGTGGTCAAATATATACATTTGACCATAAAATGTACACTTATCTACGAAATTGTCACATCATGTTTGACTGTCATATTTGAATTTTGACTTGATCATGACTATTGACTTGATTGATCAATGGTTCAAAATTATTCTTATTTCTTTCACTATCTACAATTCTCACCTGATTCTAACTTTATATAGATAAAAGATTATCAATTAGAAGATTCGGCAATATCCTATTGTAATCTTTTTATTTTTTTTATCCGATTAATCTTCAACAAATCAAAATTTTCATGATATTTTTATTTTGTTGTATAGTACAAATAAAATAATTTTAGAATTTCTATATATAAGGCAAAAAAAATATAATTAATTCTAAAATAGATAATTTCACATTCACAATAATTATTAAGTTTCTAAAATTGCTTTAGATCATTCAAAAGTCATCTATTGTCATAATTAACTAGTGAGTGGCTCATGCGATGCACTGGAAAATAATGTATTATAAATTAAATATATAAATAACATTAATTATGATTTATCCATTGTTTTTAAATTAAACCGGATTGGACATAGTCCGTCCAAATGGACCGAGATCCGATTTAGAACCAGTCTAGTTCACTTGCATAAAATATTTGCTCTCGAATCCGTCAATATCAGTCGGTTGGACTGGTAGGATATATTAAAATGTTTATAAATTAAAATTTAAACAAACCACAAATGATTTAATAAAATAGCTTGATCGTTTCAATGACGGTCCAGTTCTGAAAACCTTATATTTAGTGTACATTAATAAATATTATTTAATTCACATAAATATTAATAAAATGATATATAAATATTCATAAATCATTAAACATGTTGTCATAAAAGTATTGTTATTACGATTATTTGAAATTTGAACAGCATCACATTCACGTAATAAAGTCAAGTTTTTGGACTATTTTAAATATGATCTAAAAGTAATTCAATCAACTAAGGAAGTACCCTAATTCAATCACCCGATTGATTCGAAGAAATTGTTTTTATTTTCTTTAAATATATTTAATTTTACGAAATAAAAATATTTTATAATTCATATAAAAAAAGTCTACACCAAATGATAGTATATTAAGATTATAAATTATATAGCTAAAGATGAATTATTTTTACTTATGCATATCAATAAAAAATAAATTAGTAATTTTCAAAAAATTAAGATTAATTAATTGACTATGTAATTTAAAGAATATTTTTAACGTTCAATATTTTTTTTAAAGGTACAAATATAAAGGCCGAGATTCTAAAACTTTTGTTATATTTTGAATTGAGATTTTATAAATATAGAGACCGAGATTTTAATGTTGTTCGTTGTTTCTAAGAAAAAAATAAAAATAAAAACATACACACTTCATAAATCTTAGTCGGTATAATAAAATGAACTAAAGCCCGAAATTTAAGGTAACATTTAATGTTGTATGATTTAAATTTTCTTGCTCCTAGAAAGAAAAGAAATAGGGGAAATTTTTAAATAAAAAAATAAGAAAAATAATAAAACTTACTATTTATAGGCTCCATTAAATTCTGACCTATTTTTTCTACTATTTTTGATAAATGGTAATTCTTATTATATATATATATATATATATATATATCATTTTT